TCCTGTGCAATATCCCATCTGCACTCCCGTCATATTTCTTTTCAAGATTTTCTTATTTAATCACTAGTGTACATATATTTCTATTTATAGATACATATATATTTAGTCATCTTTTCTCTTTTACCATGTCTCTCTAATATTTTGCTCCTTACTATTTTTCTATTTTTTTATTATTTTATTTTATTTTATTATATTTTCTCCTACTGTATCATGCTGCTGAGTGACTGCTGCTCGTCAAACACATTTCATTGCAATGTTGACCCTGTGCTAACTTGCATATGACAAATAAAACTGAAAACTGAAACTGAAAACTGAAACAGAGGAAACTCCATGAACACATCTTCACCTCCACTTTTACACACTATTAATCTATTCATCTTATTTATTTAGTTATATATTTTTAGCATTTGTTTGTTTGTTTTTCTATTACTGTGTTATTGCCTTTATTTATTCCCTTATATTGTGATTTCTCTATAGAGAAGGTCTCACTATACTTTTATTTGTGTTGTTATTACTATTGTTGTATTTCCTAATGTATTTTCCTTTGTGCTTGTTATGCTTTTGTGCAGTAGTGATGGGTTTTTTTTTCTTTGCACTTCCTGTTCTCTGTTGTCATCACAGGAACACGTTTGTGGATCTGTCAGACGTCTGTGCAACGACTCCTGTGATAATTAAAGAAACCGATTCATGTATTACTTTTATAAAGTAACCGACTTTCCTTCGAAGCTTCTCGTTTAAAGTTTAAAATGTGGAACTGCAGATTTTTGGGTTATTTCTGCAGTTTTTGACTGAAAAATGACTGAAGCCTCATTTTTCAGTGGATGGTTGCAGTAACTGCTCTGAGCTGTGAACACAGAGCGCAGTGAAGGTGGGAACTGTGCAGTAAAACTAAAGGAGGAATCCCCTCGTTTAAAAGGTGAGTTTGCTGTTCAGGGTGTAACTGAGTATTTCTGTTGTACTTGAGTACTTCCGTCAATAATCATTGTGTTTTTGTAAATACTGAGCTGTGCAGACGGCTGTTAACCATTGACTCTCACAGACACCCCCCCACCCCCCCCTCGGACGGGGGGGATGAGATGACCCCCAGCTGAACTTTTCTAACATTCAGCAGCAGCTCAGGCGGGAACCATGAAGCACGAGCAGCTCCAGGAAGCAAGGAAAAGAAAAAAAGCAATGATACAGAAAGCTTGATGTTCCCGTTTCATCAGAGACGACGGCTGCATCGGGGGCCTGCACGTCTCCAGCAGGCGGATAAAAGTGCATCTCGTCCTGCTGGATGAAATCCAAATTGTTTTACTGCTCAGGTTCATTTTTAACATCTGCTCAGAGACAAACCCTCACCTACGAGCAAACATCCCCCACCGAGAATATCGATGAGCACAAGTTAAAGGTCGGGTCAGTTAGTGGCTGTGAGTCACTGAGAATTCAATAAATATGTTAACAGATGAGGAATAAAGCACCAGAGATAAATGCAGGTGAAAAAGTCTCTGCTCACTGATAAAACATCACTTTTCACAACATTAGATTTAATTTCACTGCCCTGACGCCACTTCTGAAGAGAATTCCAAAGATCTGAGGAATATTTGCGTTTGAAGGAATTATTCAGAGATAAAAACCGACACACTTTGTTCTGAACATGGCGTCGCCTCAGCCAGCGAATCAGGCCACAAACAGCATGTTCACACAGTTCAAAGGGCTCCACAGATAAAAGACAGGCTGAGCACAACAAACACGAAACAAGCATCAGAAATAAAAATGTTACAGAATAAGAGAATAAAAATAAAGAAAGGGACGATTTTAGTCTTTGCACTAAAATCATTTTTCGTGGACGCCCTGGCTCGATGTGCGCCAGGGGTCCGTTTGGGGACCGGCCTTGTTTCCTGTGTATATGCCCCCCCGTCTGTGTGTAATTGACACACTGAGGACTCACATGATCATCAGAGCTGAGTGCTCTTTGTCAAGTTTAAGACGGGACAGAAATAAAAGATGAGGAACTCAGGCAGCAGCTGCAAACATCACACCAACTAACACGACCTGTCGTCTATCAGACCAGCGAAGCCTCCAGTGGGGGCCATCACAGTGGCTACATCATTTATATACAGTCTTTGGACTAAATTATACATATCCTCCCTCTCTGACATCACAGAGAGCCAAGATTAGAAAACACTGTGACCGACTGAGCGTTCAGAGCAGTCTGAATCCTGAGGATTACAGCACACACACTGACCTCATTAACTGAAACTTTGGCCACGTTTAATCTGCACATCCAGCTCCTGAACTGAGATACCTGACAGGTAATAAAGCAAAAGGAGAGCAGGTCCATCTGCTGTGATGTTCTCATGAGCAAACAGAACCACTAGACCTGCTAAAGCCTGTCAGGAGCTTTGTGTCCCTGTAGTCTTCCTCTTTCCTCCAATAATACATAATAGATGCCCTCCTGTGTCACATGCTCCTTCACCTGCAGCAGGGCTGAATTATTCACCTGATGGCAGAAAGAGAGCCGGACAGCCTGCAGCCGAGAGCTGCTCTGCCCCGATAAGAAGATTATCAGTGTTCATCAGGAGAACCGTCACTGTGGGTCCTCTGGAGCTCAGCTCTGAGGGGACAGGCTGATAGTGTTTCGTGTCAAAGCCACGACGCTCATCGAAGCACAAACACTTGTTTCTTTTATCTGTAGCCCATCATCCAAAAGGCTTTTTAGAGTGTTTGCAGAAAAATGCAGCATGTTACCATGTTTGAAGTCTCTGTGTTAGAGTTTTAGCTGCAGCCATCTTGGTTTTTGAAGCCAGAAGTGA